TATATATATATATATATATATATATATAATTACAAGAAAAATTAAATAGTAACTTATTTTTTCATCTTTTTGTTGTAACTTTATTTTGGATATCATGAAATCTCTTCCTAATTTAGATATGAAGTGTAGGAGATATTTTGTCTAATCTCAGTCTTTTTTGTATTATTGTAGCAGCTTCTACGAGATCAGAGTTCTCAGTCTGTGTATGAAACAGATGATGAAGAGAAATGGCTTCCCGCGCAACTGTTAAAAGCAGTTTCTTCAATCACTGTCCAATCTGATAATACACAAGTTGAAATATTGAAAGTATGTGTGTTGTATATACTTGACAAATTTTAATTTGAGGTATAAACCTACAGGGGATTGAACTCCGCTCACTTACTAAATTAGGCTGTGAATAACAATTGGTTTAGTATTGGCCTAACACTATTAATGAGTTGAGTTGAAGCCCCTCTAGATCTATCTTAAGTGTCAAAATATTTTAAAATAAAAATGTTTGTACGTGTGTGTATATACAGTTTTCATTTTTAGTTCCATAACCATGTTCCTTAGAAATTAGCATTAAAAATTACACCATCGAACCGTAACACATTTTTCATGATGAAGGTGAAATAGTATTAATTAGTAAAGACAAGTAATATTTTTGAAAATTTTGATTATAGCACATCTAAATGAACTGGTATAAAACTTATTATATTGAGATCAGTATAGAATGCAGATGTTTTTTCTACTTTTCTTTTAACTTTACATTACAAATTCAGAAGACTGTAAATATAGAATTTTATATCTACTAACTTTCCTGCTGCAAATGATTGCTCAGGAGGCCTTTTGTTTAATGCCAGAACTCATTTGCTTAGGTGGATTATGATGGTCACCAGAAGTACATCTAAAAGCTATTTATATAATAGTACAGAAATTTAATACTATTCTGCTAAATGTAAACAAATATGGTAAAACAATGGAACAATATACAGTTTTTGCCAAGTTTCCGAACATAAATTAGAAAATTTTCACAAATTTCTGATTTTCAAAATCAGGAGTCAGGAAATAGATTTTGAGACAGTGAAGCTGTTTTGATATCTGAAAGCTTTTACTGTCATCAAAATGTTTTTCTTATTTTTAATGTTTCAAATAATTGCAGTAAAGAATGCAATGCTTACAAATACAAATGTCCTGGATATAAATTTGAATTTGGCTATATATATATAACAATGAACAGTACTTCAAACAAACACCAAGTAGTTATCTACAATTCCTTTTTAAAAGCATTTGTTTATAAAATACTTTAAATATATTCTAGTGTTTACAGGGACTGCAGCCATGTTTGCCAACAGTGCACCAAAGTTGTGGCAATCAATAAATGTTTGAAAGTGTACTAATCTGGTAAAAATAATTTTTGATCTACTAAAACATATAAATAAAGCACAAAACTTAAAAGATCTTAAGATTGTAGTAACTGCTATCTGTAATCAATTTTTAAATATCCAAGACAAAACAGTATGAAAAGTTGCAAATGTATGGGTTTCTTTATTATCAGTTTGAGAATCACTGCATATAATTAGATTAAAGTAGCCATATTTTCATACTTTAAAAAATATTTGCAGTCAAGTATAAAATTTCTCAACAAATAATCTGATAGTAACAAAGAGGGATAATTTATCATATTTACTAACAAGAAGCTTTGTTCTTGAAAAATGACAAATCAAAAGTCAGCAAAATAATGGAAATGATGTCATTAAAACTAGATCTGTTTAAGTGAACCATATTTATTTGCTTACATCACAATGTAGCAGCAACTGTTTTACAGCTTTTAATCTTTGTTTCATTCTGTTGACGCATGTTTTATGTTACCTTTTGTGTTCAATGCAATTAAAATTTAAAACTTATCATATGTACTTGAGTGTGATTTGGCATGTATTGAGCATGAGAAGAGACTAAAAGGTTGTTGGACATAGAACTGGCTTGAGTTAATAGTTGGAAGAGAATTTCTCAAACTGTACGTGAGAAAGGTAAGATCTAATGGAAAGGCTAAGTGACAAAGAACGTAAGTATGATAATAAAGGAAAACTGGTATTAAAAAGGTCATCTTCACTCAATAAAATGCAAGAGCATACAATAAATTAAAGCACCAAGTTATTCCAGGTACATTGACCTAGTTAAGCCTAAAAATCATATTCTAATTGTAATCTGTTGAAACCCTGCTTTGAATATACTTTTGGGCTTTAAAAGGGCATCATACATTTATGAAAACAAGGATATGTTTAGAGATAGTTTCATTTGACTCCTTTAACCCTTTCACTCCAGGCACTCCTTAAACCCCTTTCTGTGCAAGTCACTGAGTTACATTCAAAATTTAATTAAACAAATTTACTATTAATGTATGTCATAGAAATTAACGTTATAATGTATGTTATAATTTGAAGTTTTATTTTATCTAAGTTTTAATTTATTTATTTCAAAAGAAACTTTAATAAAATACTTAAATCTCCAGTTTTCTTGTCACATGACCCTCCCCCCAGGTATGAAAAATCTCCCCTTTCCCAGCCTTTGTATTGAATGTAATAAACCACAGCCTGTACATTTATTTATGTCTAGACAATAAGTAAATTTACGTGCCCTGTTGACATTAATAATTCAAAATCCTTGAGTTGAATCCAGAAGAAACGCGTAATAAATTTTACCAACCCCTGAAGGGTGCCTTGCACACCATCTCTACTTTGCTTTGAGGTTTACAAAACACATGTATTTACTGCACATACATGTATATAAGCATTAGAAAGAGCTCATTTTACACTATAATCTAACAATGGTTATTTTGAAATTTGTGCCAATTTGTTGTCATCGGGTAGGTGTAACTGTTTGTAGTATTATGTTGGTTGCTTCGTTCATGACAGCACTTTAGTTGTTTCTTACCTAAATATGTTACAGTTAGAGAGGCAGTTAAATTGTAGTTAGGTTTTACTTTTATATTTTAGTTAATTATGCATTATTTGTACTTTAAAATTTATATTTGGAAAGTTTAAATTTTATAAAATAACCAAAGCTTTGCCTTGTTTCTCATTTTTTATATTACCATACAAGTTGAAAAAAGATTTTGCCTGAGGCTAAAGTATCTATGCTGATCATACTGTTCTATTGCTTGTGGGCATCCATTGATGTATGTCTGCATAAATAATTAACAGTAAAGTACAGGAATGGAAGATAAAACATTAAAAATAAAACTATAAATGAAAAGTTAAAGACGTGAAAGTACGTATGTGACCCAAAGAAAATATTTTGAGATTATTCAAGGAAGAGTTAAAAGGTATGTAAATATTAAACATTTCATTGCACTATACATAGATGATAATAGAAGATTTTATGGTAGAGAAAATGGAAATTAAGATATAAACATTTACCTTAAAAATTGTTTTGATATTCATGTAGGAGGTTCTAGAGGTCATGCAAATGAAATTTGAAAACTGTAAGATGAAGAAAAGTATTGTTATAGTTAAAATCACCTTGCACTTGAATTATTCAGAGTTTGAGTGAAGACTTATTTGAAATAATGTGTCTTTGGGTAGAAGATAATATTTAACAAGATCTTACTAGTTTTTGTGAGAATACGTAAAGAAAGCTCAGAATTACTGTATGTATTGTTGCACATGTATCCTCGGACATAACTTGCATCTGCTCGTTCTGAAAGGGTTAAGATATTGGATGATAGTGAATTTATTCACTCAGTTTTGGGTTTATTTATTTAATTTGAATTTCTTTCCATCCTGTAAGGTTAAATAGGTGTTTTTTTAATTAAAATTAATTGTCAAAGGTAATCTCTAACTCATGTTAATTGGAGCATTAGGTTTCAGATATGGTGTAGTCTTCTTTAACTCATAACAACCAGACTACACAGTATAAAAAGAACCCTACATTTAATGGATATATGAAACCAAATATATGTAAACTTACTGCAGAACTTGTAGTACTTATCATTGACAGGATAAACAGTGAAGCCACAGTTCTATAATGTATTTCAGGGAAGTCTGTCTTATGCTATTACTTCTGACTTGGTTCATTTATCTAAAATGCTGGCCAAATACAGTATGGTTCTTTTTAATTTATCAGTGGATTATATATTTACTTTACACACAAAAAAACTTTCAAGTTAGGCCATTGCTCTGATTCAAAGGCTTATCTTTCCAGGTAAGGTGTCAAAAAAATGTTATTGCACTGTCTGTCACTTACTCTATAAAGTTGCAACAGTCTATTTTTCTTGTGTAAGATGCTTACTGGATCAAATTCCCTTTGAACAGCCTGGCACTTGGATACGTTGCTGGTATTGATTTAATGTGCCAGGTCTTGCCCTAAACCTGAACTGCATGCTTTTGTTACCATCAATAGTTCTATCACAAACACCTAATGATCTAAAAAGAATCAATTTGAAGTTTTATTTGTAGAATTCACAGACTAATGACAGTGAAGAGCATCAGCATATTGATGATTGATGGTTTCCAGTATTTTAACTCGGAAAATTTGGAACACTTCAGATAATTATATAAGCTATTCTCAATTACTCTAAGTGATCACAAGTTGATAGCTTTTTTTTCAGCACCAAAGGAGAACTTCATGTAGTACATTAGTACATCAGACTACATTAGAAGAACTGAGAAGGCCTACTGACAGAACATTATGTCAAAAAATGCAGTAAGCATAGAAAAGTTACAAAGAACATTAAGAGACGACACAAAAGAAATGTGAAGAATGGAGAAAGGATGTAGGCATGCAAAGGTTTCAGAAAGTTTCTAAAAGGACAATAGAACTCTCGGTCAAGGTTGTAAAGAAAGCAAAATTGGCACACATGACCAAAGTCAAAAATAAAGGAATGCAATACTACTGAAGCATTTCAGTTTCAAGTAAAAGAAAAGAGTGAAATCTTTAACTTTCAAGTAAATTGACTAAGAATTTAGCATCAGTTAAATCCATTAATCCGTTTATGCCTACTTAACATTAATCAGTTCATCATTACTCTTTCATGCAAATGTAACATAACTCATAACATACTTGTTTAATTGAATAATTCATGTCATGAAACCAGATTATAACTTTTTTTAAATTTTTTCTAAAGTGCAATTTGAAATAAGTATATTGAGAGTTTTTACTCACTAAAGTAACAGTTTTATTAGGCTAAATATATCTAATGTGCAGTGATAAAGGAAATTATCTGATACAGGTGCATTTTAAAGCTACGTTTGTAATTCCCCTTCCATTGTAGCTCATGTTGTTCCTTGGACCACATGCGACTTGAAACGTTGTTTTTATAAAGTTTGGTTTACCCTCAATATTCCCAGATGACTTCTGTTTCCCACAATATACTTGGAGAAGCATATTACATTTTTTCATTGTCTCTTTTTGCATTTTATAAGAACTATTATCCATATTTTTTGTAAAAGAACTATATTTCTTGCTTATGTTTCACATGTTTTATTTTTTGCTTGTTTTTTGAGGTCTTACTT